GGGCGTGGTGGCATGTGCTTGTAATCCCAGCTCTTGGGAGGCTGTAAACAGGCAGATCACTACAAATCCTATCTAGTAGTGAGACCCTGAACACCCTCTAGACCCTTCCCTAAAATAAAAAAAAAAGTTTTTGTATAGAAGATTATTACAGCTAGCTGAGTCTAGTAAAAAGGTTATGACTTATTCTTAAAAAAGTGAAAATTTGAATCATAAATGTGATGAGCTGGTAGTTGGTACTGTCACTGAGACACTGCTGCCACCTAGTGACGACAAACCTCTAGGACAGCGGGAGTGTGAGCCCAGCAGTTTCCAGATGTTTGCAGCTTCCTCACCCTTTCCTAGGTCTAATAAATTCATCAGTGCCTGTGGAGCAGTGCGTGTATGTTCTGTTGGAATTCCATTTGCTAGTTGGTGACACTGTCATTGGCTCTACTACAATTTCTCCCCCCCCAGTGGTACCGCTTGGAGCTGATACTTACTAGGCATGGTGGCACATGCCTGTAGTCCAGCACTTGGGAGACTGAGGCAGGGAGATCGTTGCAAGTTCAAGACCAGCCTAGGCTATAACGTGAGTTCAAGGCCAGCCTGAGCTGCATAGTAAGACCCTGTCTCCAGAAGATACCATATTAGGCAAAGGTTCTACCACTGCAGCATGTCTAAGCCCTGAGTTCAGTCTGTACAGCAGGTAGCATGCATTGCAGTGGTTTTGCAAGGTAAGCCTCCTACACTTGGGAGTATACCATTGGGTGACAATTTAGAACTGCAGTACAGAAGGTCAGCCCTGAGGAAGGCTCATGCCTCACAGGCCTAAAGTATGCTCTATACTTAAAGAAAGACCCCAGAATCACAGATGTGATGTCGGCAGGAATATATCCATCCATCTCATCCTTCTGGACCAGACTGGCAGGGGAACCCAGAGCAGGGTGGCAATTAAGGCTGCACTGGGCTGCCTTGGCCCTCGTAGACAGCCTTTTCTAGGCCATCTGTCACCTTCATGAACTCCAGGTATGAGCTGTAGTGTGTGCATTCAAAGCTGCTACTCCCACGCACGTGTGCCAGGAGTCTGGTGTTCCTGGGACGATGACATCATCAGCCAGAAGTACTGTCCTTTCCGCAGTAGGTGACATTCCTCTAGGAGATGGGTGTCTGGCAAGTAGTGGTCTTTCAGTGGTCAAGGAAGACCATGTCCAGCGTGTCCACATCATACTTCTTCAGCTGGGGGATGAGGTCATAGGAGGCTCCAAGCAGGACAGCGACCTTGTCCTGAAGGCCTGTGCAGTCCATCCAGCTCTGTTGAGTGGTGGCTCTGTAGTCCGGTTGATCTCCATGGTGAGTAGTTGCCCACCAGGTGGCAGCAGGCGGGCTGAGTGTACAGCTGAGGAGGTGCAGTAGGACCCTAGTTTCAGCACCAGGGAAGGAAGGGCCATACTCCTGAATCGCTTCACCCATGATCTAACCAGTGGGGTGTTTGGGGCAGGCGTGAGCACAGGTAGACAGAGGGAACTCAGCAGTTCACCCTCTCTGCATCTGGCAGCAGTCGCTCCTCCTCCATCCTCTACCCACTGCTGGAGAGGGTCTTTTTCTGGGGTTGGGGTTGAGACAATAAAAGTAATGCATAATCTGCGTAACAAACAATAGCTAGGCTATGGAGACTATGTAAAGAATTCCTGCCTATCACTAAGAAGACAAGTTACGAAAATGAACAGGTGTGCAGGATCATCTTATAGGACGTGAGATGGTGCCCTCAGTAACCTCAGGTACCCAAGAAACATAAAATACACTAACATCATAATGAGACACTATTGGATTAGCAAAATTAAGAAGCCCGGCTAGAAAGGGCCGGGGCTATAGCTCAGCAGCACCATAAGGACCATAATTTTGAAGTAGTGGTGAATGAGAGAAAGGTATTTGCAAAAGCTGTAGGTGATGTGAGAGTATCTGATTTCCTTTAGTGTAGAAATTTTAGTTGCTTTCGTTCATGATTGAAGAATGCTAAGTTTCCACTGGAAGCAGTGAAAATAAAGTTGTAGCTCTTTACTTAAATTGACTCTCTCTCCCCTGCTCCAGCTCTGATCTTAGACGTCTGCCCTGGTCCTCTAGATTAGGGGTTTATGTTCTAGGGAGGGCAGGGGAGGAGCGAAGGGCAGATGCAGCACTGCTGATCATGGTGACGTGGAAGTGGGCAGAGGGTTTGAGGTATCATTCACAGCTAACGTATGGTACACTTATTTTTGTAGGGGTTTTGGGGGTTACTATTACATGATAAGTCCTACAATTCTAAGTATGGTGGTACCTTGGCTCACAAGCTTGATTCTTTCTGCAATTCTGGTTACAAACTGAATTGGATAAGAACCAGATCAAACATCAATGTTGACCTGTTGTCTAATTCCCTTTGCAATTAAGCCTGAATACTGAGATTTTAGATTTTTTTGTTTTGTTTTTATATTTTAGGGAAGGGTCTACAGGGTGTTCAGGGTCTCACTACTAGATCACACTCATAGTGTTCTGCCTGTTTACAGCCTCCCAAGAGCTGGGATTACAGGCACGCACCACCATGCCCAGTCTCAATGGACATCTCAGCACACCCTGGGGGCAGAGCCAGCACGGCAGGCCTGAGGATCGAACCTCCGGCCCCTGCACCTGCATGCAGGCACTTTAATCTGCTGAACTATTTGGCCAGCCCAGTGACATGAATTTATAGCTTCCTACATTCCTATCAACTGTTCAGATATGGAATTTCCTCTTTTCTTTCCTCTCCCCCCCTTGTATTAATAAAATTTACATAGTTTTAGTGGGTAGGAAACATTATATTAAGAAAAAAGAAAAAATTGACTTGAGCTGTCCCAAGTCATGCTTCTTTAGTGACATGTTGCATTTCAATATCCTTCCTAGTTTTACTCTCCAATGGAAAATTTTTTCCAACTCATTTGGAATGAGTTTTCAGCCGCAGTCTCCTTTACCTTCTGTGCAATCACAGCTGGTTCATTCATCTGAAGTCATGTGCTTAATCGGGCGATTACTAGAGAGAAAGGCAGTTCTCAGCCGCTGTTGATGAGACAGGCACCCTGTGGCCAGCTCCTCAGCCTGACGTGAGCAATCACAGTGCTAAGCTGACATTGTGTGTGTCTTACTACTCCAAGGGATTAAACCCTAAACGTCCAAGCTAGCATGGCAGCACATGTCTGGTAATCCCAACACTCAGAAGCTGAGACAGAGTTGCTGCAGATTTGCGGGCAGCCTGGGCCACGTAGTTCATGAAAAGTATATTGTCTCAAAAAAAGGTTAAAGTTCCTTTCCCCTGCCCCCCGGTACTGGGGATGAAACTCGGGGACACTCTGCCACTGAACTACATCTTCAGCCCTTTTTAAACTTTGAGACAGTGTCTTGCTCAGTAGCCTGTGCCGGGCTAGAACCTGTGATCCTCCTGTTTTAGCTTCCCAGGTATCTGGGCTTAGCAGGTGTGCATTAACAGTGCCTGGCTTCCCTCTAGGCTTTGTGTTTTTTTGGATTTGGGTTTGGTTGTGTGTGTGTGTGTGTGTGTGTGTGTGTGTGTGTGTGTGTTTAATAGGATAGCAAAGTACACCAACTTTGTCATCAGAAGTCCTGAATTTTGATCTTCTGTATGTCACTGACTTTCCTTGAGACATTCGGCAAGTAAGCCATGTTTACTGTGAGTGGGTAAGTCAGTACCTAGCGTACCCATTTCTTGGCATTGTTGAATGAAATAATACAATACTGGAAAGTGCCTGGGTTATGCAGACATCAGTGCATAACTATTATTTTACATATAAGAAAACCTCTGAGGGTTGAAACTACTTGCTCAGCTAGCTGATGGGAAGAACTAGAGTTTCAGTTGTGATTCCGCAGTACTGAGTGTTCTTTCCTCTGTCCCATGCAGTTTTTCCTTCTTTCTGAAATGAAGAATAAGTCCCTTGTGAACTAAGTTTTTCAGGATTTTTCCTTCTTGATTATTAACATTTGAAAACTTAGCCTTTCTTCCAAGGTAAGACTGTTTTTATCTAAGAGGCTTTTCTTTACTGACAACACATAGGAGGTGTGCTAGTATTCATAGCTTTTCAGAAAGCAAGCATCACCATATGGCCCACTTTGTATTCTGCAAAGCTGTGGCTCTTTGGGACGCCTCTCTGATACCTAATCTCTGGAAGGCTTTCATGTGGGACTCACCTCCTGGTCCTGAACTGGTCCCCTCCCTCAGCTGTTGAACGCTGGCCTGATCCACTTGTAGGGGGAAGTCCAGCACAGCCTGAAAGTATAGGGAAAAACTATCTCTCCCTTCTGAGCCTCTCTCTTCCTTTGATGAGAATGGAATGGAACCTTTCCAGTGCCCCAGAACTAGTGGATGTGTCTGTCCCCTTGCTGCGTTTGACCTAAATGTGAGTGCTGAGAAGCTGATGGGTGACTATGAGCGTATCTCGGGAGCTTGTCAGCTGTCATTTCTCATATCCCGGAGGAGAATCACCACACTCCATCCTCTCAGCACTGGGCAGCAGTTCGTTGAGAAGTGGCAGGCTGGCAAGGCCAAGCAAGAGCCAGTGCTTAGCGTAGTGAGTGGGCAATGTGTTCCTGTAGCGCAGTGGGCCCAGAGCTGGACTTAGAAATGGGGGAACCAGCCTGAATCAGTAAGGAGCCAAAATGATGTTTGTTTGTTTGTTTTTTAAAAAAGAAGTTGAGCAATTTGAGTACTAGGAAATGGCTAACAAAATGTTGGGAGAATATGCTTTACTGAGGATAGGTTTGTTTTGTTGACCATCTTTTGTGTTTTGTGTGACCCTGGGCTTTAGAATGCCCTACAAGGCACTAGAACACGCTCTAGTGTCGTGATCCTCAGTCCGATCTTACATTCCTTTCATGAGCAGGCCCTTTCCCTCCATGTTATGAGTATAGTAATTACCACAAATCTAAGTTATTTTCATTCCTGACAGATTTCAGTTTATTTGATGGGGTTCACACATTACATGCAGCCTGCTTTTGTTTTGTAGGTATTAAAACCAGGGAAAAATGTCCTCTTCCGTGACTATGGGCTGTACGATCACACTATGCTTAGGTTTAAAGCCAGCAGCAAACTTGGAGAAAACTTTTATGTTAGACAAGATGGAACCCGATCATATTTTTTTACTGAAGGTAAGATGAATGGAATCTGTCCTTAAGACGCTGTATTTGCTTCCGTGCTCGGTTGCATCATAACTGCGCGGTGGTGGGGTGGGCATGCAGCTGCCTGTAGTGCACGCACATGGTCCTGGGACGTGCTACCGCACACACTGCTGACCCGCCCTGCTGCGGGGACCTTGTGGCCATCTCTAGGGGCAGCACGGCTTAGCATGGGGTTGGCCCACCATCTGGGTGCCCTGGGAGAGCTGTGACGGAAGGGAAAGGGAGAGCCAGCTTCACTTTGCTCAATCAGAAGAGAACAGGTCGTATTCCCTGGAGGTTACTTTCCCAGGTTTCAGAGGCAAGCAGCCTTTTTCAGTAAAAGTGGTTGATCTTTATATATACAACTCTGTTTTAAAGGGATGTGCAAAAAGGCATTTTGGGTAAGAAAGTGCTGTATTCCATTGTTTTGAGTATTAGTTTCAAGCTACATAGTCATGTGGGCTATAGATACCTGTTTGATCTGTTTTTACAAATATCTTTATATCTTGAAATATCCTTTTAGGTACTAAAAATTAAAGACCACTGATTATCATTAAAATCACAAAAGTCATAAAAATATCAAGAGTAAATAGAGAAGGTATTTTAATATTTGAGTAATTAAAATCTGATTAAACCAGCCATAAAGAATTGAGAAGACAGGCAGTGTCCGCGAAGTGTGTAGGAGCACATCTTCCAGGAGAACGCTCTTTGTTCTCTGCTCTGTAACCACGTGTCCTTGTCTCGCTTGGTAAGTGGTGGTACGTCACTGCGGTGGAGTCCTCTGGGGACGCCTCACCACCGGGTGATGTCGCTCCCGGCTTTGCTCACAGGAGTTCCCCTCCTCCTCCTCCTCCTAGGACGAATGAGGTGCTTGATATGAACCATTGGTGCACACACTTGGAATTTATCCACTTTGAACTCTGTTTCTTTGTAATCAGACTTCTGTATTTGTAACTTATTCATGGGACAATCTGGATGTACTCCAGGCTAGCCTTTTACTATTCCTGGTTATATTGTTTAACTCGATGTTTCTATTTGGGTGTAAGACCACAAGATGTGTTTGTATCAGTTTTTTAAAACACTTTAAATTTTAGGGCCTGGGAGATAGCTCAGTGGCCTAAGCACATGCCTGGCAAGCATTGAAAAAGTTGTAGTGTTGCCTTTATTTTTTAATTAAAAAAATTTATTTATTTATTTGGCACAGAGTCTCGCTGTGCAGTTCAGGCTCATCATGATCCTCCTGTCTCAGCTTCCCCAGTGCTGGGCCTACAGGCATGCACTACCACGCCTGGTTTCAGGGCCAGCGTGGCATGTGGAGCTGTGGATCAAACTTGGGACCTTGCACTTGCCAGGTAGGCACTTAGACCACCGAACTGTCTTCTCCAGCTCAGCATTGCCATTTTGTTTACCAAAAAAAGAGTCCTCAGACCTCCTAAGCACTGCATACGTCTGCACACTAGCAACCTGCTTGTCTTACAGAATTCCTGACTCGGCTCTTTGTGGGCTCAGGGTATGAAGAAGTGGTAAATGAATACGTGTTCCGAGAGACGGTGAACAAAAAAGAAGGCCTGTGTGTGCCGAGAGTTTTTCTCCAGGGCAAATTTCGCAGGCCTCCACGGGACCTCAGCACTGCGGCCTTGTACCACCAGGCTGGTGATTGCATTTCTCCTTGAAGAGCAGAGTTTAAGAGTCACTCTTTTTTGCAGTACTGGGGATTGAACTCAGGACCTTTTGCTTGCCAGGCAAGCACTTATTCTTCTACGCTTTCTCCCTGGCCCCTGAGTCACTCTTTTTGTTTGTTTGTTTTTATATTTTAATTTTTAAATGAGTAAAGATAGTTTTATATTTTAAAAGAAGCCTGTACGTGTGTATTCTATAAGTGCAAATAAAACTCAAAAGCCTGAAAGTAAAGAAAGTCTCGTGACGTAACATAGTTTAGCCACATCATCTGACTGTAAAATCCGTCAAGACCCAAGAGTGCTGTGACCCTTCAGGTGATTCTTAGCATTGCTCATGTGACTCCTAGTGTGCCTCTAGGTGGCACAGCAGACGACCTTGTAGAAAACTGAGGCAGATACACTAGAATAATACTCCCACGTGCATTTTTAGCTTGAAGGATTGTTTTCTCTTCCTAGCATCTCTGGTGCCTTTCTCTTCCCTCTAGTTCATTTATGTCCCTCTTTAAGACCAGTAGTCCACCAACACCACCTGTGCCACATCTCTGCTCATCCTTGGCCCCTCCATCGCTGGGCCAGTTCCTGGTTGTACTCTTTGCCCTTGGGGAAAGCAAAGGCCACTACCTACCCCCGTAGCCTACATCTGCCCGTACAGTGCTGTTCCTCCAGCAGTATAGCCCATACCCAGTTAGAATTTTAGAGCATGAATGGGCATCAGCATTTCCTGGTGGGAAACAAGCAGTAGGGAGAATGCCGAGGCCAAGACAGGATAGCTGGGATTGTGATGGAAAGCGAGCAGATCTGGGACCTGGCCTGCGGACCTGGCTCCCCAGTGTTGCTGCATTAAAATCGGAGTTCTTTGGGCCCTCCCACAAAACTTAATCCTGAAAGACTTTGTGTCCCTTTTTGCATAGAAAACAGTGTATGAAAACATGGTCCTGTCTCGTAACTACTGCACCTGCAGCAAGCTTGGGCTTTCAACCCCAGCCACATCTGGAGAGGAGTCTCGGTGAGGAGGGGCTGGATAATAGCTGTCATGGTTCTAGACAATCAGAACAATCCTTGTGGTGAGAGAGAGACAGGGACAGAGACGCTGAATCCTGGCAGCATCCCCCCCCCCCGCCCTTTTTTTCTTATTCTTAGTCACAGGGTCTCCCTGGGTAGCGCAGGCAGGCCTTGAACTTGCTCAAGTAGCCCGCTGCCCTCCTTCCTCATGGTCCTCCTGCCGCAGCCTCCCAGTGCTGCGTGCACCACCACGCCCTGCCCAGTCAGCGTTCTTGCTGGGTGCCTTAACAGTGTGTGCTTCCCTTCCTGAGGGGAGCTAGAGAAACCCTGTGGCTCGCTAGATGTTGTTTGGTGTGTTCCTTCCCTTGTTTAGAAGGCTGGAAGGTGGCTATTAGGTAAGAGTGTGAGTGACAAGCAGAGCGTATCTTTTTCAATGTTTCAGTCAAGTTGTGAATACAGCGCCTATGGTGAGCTCCTAGGCCTTCTCACGGGGAAGACAAGCCCTGCCTGGGAGCAGTTGGGGAGGGGGACAGCAAGGGAGGCCCTGAGTGCCGCGGTCCAAGGCTCTTCCCTCTGCTTTTCACCAAATGCAACCCACACTGGCTCTATCCCCTGCCGCCCCACCACAGAGTCCTTGTGCCGTTTTTGCACTAAGCCTGGCCACTACCTCTTGGATTGAGTGGCTGAGCCTGACACAGACAGATGGAGGAAGGAAATGGAGAGCAGGGTGAAGAGGCCGTCTGGCCTCACCTGGTTTAACCTCAGATTAGATTCCTCCTTTGTAAAAGGTGCAGAGCCATATCTGCCTAGTGTTCTGAGGATTAAAGAAAAGAACTGCATGGAACGTATCACACGAAGTAAACCCTTAGGTGCATCGGTGGCAGCTCCTTCGTCCCCAGGTTTTGCACTACTATTGAGGTTTAGTGTACACATGGAAAGGTGCACAAACCAGACACCCTGCCCACTGGGTCCACAGCGTGGACACACTGCTGTACCACGAGTCCTACTGAGGAAATGAATTATCAGTACTCTAGCCCCTCCACATGTCCCTCTAAAGAAACCATTAGTACTCCAGATACTCATGTCCCCTCATAGCCACGGTCCCCCCAGGTAACCACTCATGTTCTTTCCACAGGTGTTTACAGACATCTTACAGAATTTTAAGTAAAGACACTGGAGTAAAGGAAAAGCTAAGCTGAGGCAGAAATAAGACATTAAGGTGGGGGCTGGAGAGATGGCTCAGTGGTCTAAAGCACCTACTTGGAACAAGCTTGGCAAAGCACAGGGACCACGGTTCGATCCTCCAGCACCACATGCCAGCCAGCCGCGCCCCCTGGTGGGCTGAGCTGACCACACACACACACACACACACACACATACAATAAATGTTAAAATAAAAAAATTTAAAAATAAATAAATAAATGTTTATTAAAAAAAAAAAAAAGACATTAAGGTGGCCTTACACACTGAAGATAAATGACATTTGACCCCCTGGAGTCGGGATAAAGGAGCTAAGTAAGCCCAGACTCAAGGCAAACCTGAGGCAGCAGCTCTGGGGTCTGAGGACTTTCCCTCGCTTATAAAGAACATTTTCAACAATTTCATCTTATAACAGATCAAAGTGTCAAATCAAACACCTATCAAAAGATTGTTTCGGATGCCTTCACTTGGTGTCGCTATGGTGTAACCCCCAAAGAAAGAGGCATGTATTCCTCGGGTGGAGAGGACCGAAAGGAAATGTGTCCGGTGGGCTTCAGAATCCTGAAAAGGTGCGTGGACCGTCGGTCCTGCTGACAGTCCTCCGTCTGTCTGTGGTGTTTTTGGTCACAGTTGTCCTCCATTACAAGGGCCTCTGCTTTTGCTCGTCACTGGCTGAGGATGCAGCGGTGAAGCAGGCCAGCAACATCTTCAGACACAGCCTGGAGTTGTTTCTACCAGCAGGAGCAGTGATGGTCCGCAGTTCTTGTCAGTAAAGCCAGGCTGCAAGTGCTGGGGTATCTCAAGCTGGTCCAGTAATATCCCCACATCCAGCAGTAGCGAAGTAGCCACTCAGGGACACGTCCCTCCCCCACCGGCACTGCCAAAATTTATTGGTTGGAAGACATACTCCTTAACTGAATGGGGAGACCTAATTCACATGTGTTTTAGCTGTGAGGCAGTAAAATGGTTTAAATAACTCAAAACAGTTTTTTTCAAAAACAGTTTTTAAAAATTAAGCATAATGAAAGGGTGCCCCCTTCCCTGCTGTCTCCGTGTGCTCTCTGGGTACACCACTACTGTGCCCCCAGGTGAAGACACCAGGGAGAAGGTTCTCCACGATTTGCGTGCCCAAGAGAGGGAGGCCACC